TGAATATTTGCAATCCTAATAAGAAATTATATTATATCAATTTTGATAAAATTGAATAAAATTGTTTTTTTTTTTTTTTTTCTAAATAATACATTAAAATATAAAATGTAATATATATATATAGAATTATGACAATTTGAAATATGAAATAAAATAATGAATTGAAAATGAACTTGAACAGATATTCGATTTTGATCAATTCTGTATTATAAATAAAAATTCGAAAGACGTTTTATACGATAAAATTTTGTATCCTTTTACAGTAACCGGCGTCTATAGGGAACCGTCGTCTATTTATATCTTGGCACACAATCGAATATCGGTAAAGAGCCAAAGTTCTTCGTTCTTTGTAAATTCGAACGATAAATGCGACGAGAAAAAGAGGTAATAGGACCGACGCCCATCTACTAGTCTAATTGTTTACCAACTTATTTGCTTTTTTTCTTTTTTTTTTTTTTCAAAGAATTATGTAATAAAATGTTTCTCTATCTTGCACACAATCAGACAAAAAAAAAATCAAAAGAAAATAATAAAGAGAGAAATTAGAAATGTTTATATTCACAATAAATTATTTCACGAAAAGTTTATCAGAATACTTTGTTATACTATACATATATATATATAATAATTTTAATATTATATTAAATATATATTAATTAATAAAAAATATTAAATATGTTAAAATTTAAATTTAAATATAATCAAATTTTAATATTATATTATATTAATATAATATATATATTATAGTTATATAAATATATATATATGTTAGCATATAATATAAAATTATAAATAAAAATTATTATATTATATATATATAGAGTAACATTATAATACTGTGTATAGATAGTATAATAATATATATATATATATAAATAGTATAATATAATAATACTATATATATATATATATATATATATATATATATATATAGTAAAATTATTATATTTTAATAAATAATGAAATTATTAAAAAAATTCTTATATATAATAATTACATAAATGTATTTAAAAATGATACACAAAAATAAAATAAAATACATGGAGAGAGATAGCAAGGTGAGAATTCAAAAAACAAATTGTACAAAAAGATGAAGAAGATAAGAATAAGAAAAAAAAAAATAGAGAAAGAAAGAAAGAAAGGAAACGGAAGAAATAGTAAATATTTAAATTTCGCGAGTTCTCACGGCAGTAAGTTTTCGGAAGAGACGTTGTAAACTATGCATGTCGGGCGCCAGTTAGGCGCGTGAATACCAGAGTACATAATATAATATACGTTTGTATTACGTTTGACGCCTTGTGCACAAGCTCATGCGAATAAATGTATTTTATATATATATATATATATATATATTCAAAACATGAAAATAGTGTTCATTGTATTTTAACATAAACATGTTTTTATACATTACCGGTCAAGAGTTTTCGAATTAGAAACGTATATACAAAGAAACAGGAAATTTATGTATTAAAACAAAAAATAAACACTATTGGAATAAACAAATAATAATGTATTTTTTTATGATTTATTTTGGTATTATTTAATATCATTATTTGGTATTATTAATACCATTAAAAAAATACAATTATTATATTATATAATTTAATTTATATATAATTGTAATTATATTAATTTGGTACTATTTAATACTATTATTTGGTATTATTAATATAATTAAAAAAAAAAGAAAAATACTATTATTATATTATATAATTTAATTTATAAAAATTGTATAATATATTACGTTATATCATAAAAACAATTTTTAATAATATAATATTTTATATAGGCAAAAATTAAGTATATTTATATTTTTATTATTTATAAATTTATAATTTATTATGTGTAATATTTTGATCATTAAAATTATCTCTTTATCAAAATAATATATAACTTTTGTATTTTAAAATAACAGTATATTATATTATATTCTCAATCATTTTCTTAATTAATTTTTAATTATATATATATATATATATATATATATATATATATATATATATTTTTTTTTTTTTCCATATTTATTATAGAAGGTGTTAAAAATATTCCAGTAAAAGTTATTTTACATTTGTCGTATGAACTACATTTAAAAGTTTTATGTAAATGTAAGAAGATAACTAAAATGTTTCTAAAACATCATTTTTAAATTGTCAACACATTTGATATATATAATTTAAAAATAGAATATATATTTGAATTGTTTGTAAATAATTTAATCAACGAACGATTTATAAACTTTTGACTGATAGTGTATGTTTCTAATGTGTATACGTTCACAAATACTTATTTAGAAATGAAAGCCTTTATATTCGAATATGTATGTATCTATGTAACGTAAATGCAACCTAATGCAATTTGCATGTGTATTAATCTATGCTTATATTGTGTATATGTGTGTCCTGTGTATGCACTTACACATTCTCAGAACGATTTCACTCGAGCAATAACAGTTTCTCAGATTCTAAAAGAAGCTCTTTCTCGGTTCTCTACACTTTTTGTATTTTTATTAGAAAATGTATCTTTCTCTTGAAGCACTCTTATCATTGCTTATCCTAATGATGCTGACTGACTGACTGACTGACTGATTGACTGACTGACTGACTGACTGGCTGAATTTTTTCTTTTTTTTACTCTTCTTTTTCTTTCGTGATGATCGACACGTTTCCAGGAATCACGAATCAGTGAGATTGATTAACTTTTGTTAATATATATTTATATATATATATATATATATATATATATCGGTCTATACTTCTAAGTAATAATATTAATTCAAATGAATAACTATTTAATGCATAAAGAAGAGGATTGATAAACAACATTGATTATAAATTAATTAAATTTCTAATTAAAATTGTGATACTTTGAAAATATCATATTAGAATTTTTACAAATATTTTTTTATTACGTTATCTCAAAGTTATTTTTATTTTAAAATAATAATAATAAAACAAAAAAAGATTAGATAATTAATGCTTTGAATAAATTTTAATTAATAAAATTCAGTCTACCATTTGTTCAAATATATTTGTACTGTGTAACAAAACAAAACAAAAAAAATAAGTCTAGCATAATATCGAAATTATTTTTTATTGTGTGAATTATTATCGATTCTTTATGGTGTCGCATTTGAAATGATTTTTTTTATTCGATTAATAAATATTTAATATTAAAATAATAATATTCAATTAAAATAGCATACAATTTTTCTATTTTGTTGCATTTAAAATATTTTTAAATATATAATAATATAATATACAATTAATTATTATTTTATATAAATTTATATAATTTTATATAATTTATATAAATATATATTATTATTATATAAATTAATATATATATAATTATAAATA